CTGTGACCTCGATGAGCTCACATGAACCCAGTGGCCTCATTCCCATCTGGACAGTAGGAGGATGGGCCAAAGGCTCCTCCTGGGACCTCCCAGCTGTGACCAAAACTGAGACAGGGTTCCTTCTTTTCCTTCTGGACAACCACCCTTATCTTTGTCAGCCTCATTTTCCTCCCAGAGAGATCATCTTATTTAGCACAAAATAGACAGGTACTGTATACCTGGCTAGGAGCCACAGTCCCATTACAACAAGCTAAAGCAAACTCAGCAGTGATGAAGAAGTATATTAATATTTTTTAAACATCACGGTTAAAATAATGCAGGTACTTTAATCCTTGTTATGTCTGGGATTTCATTACCTTTCACACCTACCCAGTGAAGGCAGAGGAGCTTTTTCCCGTAATACAGAGAAAAAACAGAAGATTCTACGTCAGAATCAGACCCAAGGCACCCAGCCTGCTCACATGGGTGGCACAGTGTGAACTAACACAGGAAAGCCTGACGGCCTTGGGGCAGCACCAGGGAGGCAAGCTGGGAGAAGAAGAGAACCAGCCTCTGACTTCCTACTGTGTGCCATTACACACAGCATCTCCTCCACAGTCTACAGGACACATGTGTTCTCATTAACCCCATTTTACAGAGAAGAAAATGGAGGCTCAGAAGGTTAATTGTCTGAAGTCCCACAGACAATCAGCGGAGGGGAGTAGTATGCAAGTCTTATTTTGTCGCAAAACTCTTCCTTTTTATATTCCCTGCAATGGTCCTGGAAACTCAATGGTTACAAAATGCCCAAGTTCAAAATGGGGGTGGGGAAGGGGCAGGGCAGGAGGTTGAGGGAAAAAGCAAAGAAAGGAGTTCACCTTCTTTAACCACCCCCTTCCTTGCCGCATTCCCAGGCAGGGGGGATGAAAGAGCAAGCATCTAAACCCACCAGACGTGAATTTTCCAGCTGGCTGAGTGTTAAAAGGAGGATTGGAATATCGAATAGATTGGTCACATTCAGGGCACTCTTAGAACAAAAGCAGCAATCCCCTCTTTTGCTGGGGTTTTCTCTCCCTCTCTCCAGCTGATTGCCACAAGGGGAACTTACGAGATGCCAATGGCTACTAGGGAGCCCAGGGGGATGCTGGCAGCAGGCTCCCTGAGGTCGCCCCCCATGTTGAAGCCGGCCATGACTCCTGAAAGACACCCAGATGGGAGAGAAGGGTGAGCAGCATCCTCCACACATCACCTTCCCCTCCTCGGGGCCTCTCCTGGAAGGGATCCTCGGGCATGCCCTCCCATCTGCAGCTCTGCAAAGTGCACTTCTCAGTCTCCCCTGGCAACTGGGGAGGCATCCTCAAGGCGTGAAAGGGACTTTTGTGGGTTGGCTGATGCTCAGGAAGAGAGCCCAACTGGTGACAAAAGCATCTTATGGCCCAGTGCAAAGTAATGAGGGCCAGGGAGGCGGCTGGCAGGCCACACAAAGGTCCCAAGGCCACATGCTGAGCTCTGAACTCCGCCTTCCAGCCAGACAACACCCAGGAGAGACTCAGCCTTAGCAAAGCACTGCCCCTGCCTGCTCAGCAGAGTTCTTTTCCTCTGCTACCCCCAGACTACACTGGGGTTCAGGGGCCCCAGAGACACGTTTCATCCAATATTCAGTCAGCAGCCATGTTCAAAGCTCCTGAGCTGCCAAAAGGCTCTAAACAGATTCCAACAAACTATCTTGATGCTACCAACACTGAGTGGCAAGCTCCTCTTCACCATGGACTCTATTCCTCATGAACACTCATGAAAAGCACATAGTCATGATGGGAAGCACATCGTTGTGGTCCAAACAAACACAGGCAGGAAACCAACAAGACAGCATGCGCTGAGCAACACACGGATCCAGCCCACACGTGCTCTGCAAGTCCACAGGAGTGGGTGCATTGTGAATGTGGTCTTGAAGGACATTTTGCATGGGTTTGGGGAGAGGAATGGGTCCAACTCCATCAATATGGATATATGAACACTTTGAACCTGACAGGGCCTGTGTTAAGTGCTTTTCATGTGTTTTTTTTTTTAATCTCATTTAATCCTCACAACAACCACATCAGAAAAGTAGAATTATTTCCCCCATTTTATAGACAAGGAAATTAGTGCTAAAAGAAGTAAATTAAAATAGCTTAAGGTCACATATTTAGTAAGCAGCAAAGCTAAGATTCAACCTTGGTCTGTGTGATTCGGAAAATTGATCTCTTAACGCCTCTGCTATAATGCTTGAGGGAACTCAAGTGCAGTGAAGTAAAGTGAAAGTTTAGGCCCAGAAAGTTAAAGAGAAGCTATTTCAAAGACTACCGCGAATGCTGAACCAAAGCAGAGGACTGCATACATTTTGATCCAGCAATTCCACTACTACGGTTGTATCCTAAGTAAACAGTCAAGAATATAAGTAAAGATTTATCCAAAAATGTTTATAAAAGCTTGTATATATAGAGTGGTGAAAATTATAAACAATCTAATGTTTAAAAGTAGTGTGTGTGTGTGTTAGTCGTTCAGTCGTGTCCAACTCTGCAATACTATGAACTGTGGCCCACAAAGCTCTCTGTCCATGGAATTCTCCAGGCAAGAACACTGGAGCGGGTTGCTATTTCCTTCCCCAGGGGATCTTTCCTTCCCAGAGTTCAAACCTGGGTCTCTTGCACTGCAGGCAAATTCTTCACCATCTGAGCCACATAGAGGACTGGCTAAATAAGTGATGATACATCTTTCAATATATACCAGCCCTCCAATAATATCAAGAATATGTTGTGATATGAAAAGAACTATTGTTTCAATTTCAGAGGCATATCTGAAAGCGGAACATACAGTATGATCTTATTGTGAAAAAAAAAACAAAACAGATAAATAGATGTGTAGAAAAATGAAAAAGGAACTAGAACATATTCAAAATAATGTTATTTCTGGGTGATGGAAAAACAGATCATTTTTTATTTTGTCGTTTATCTCTACTTTCTCAATTTCCTATAGTGATCATTGTGAAATAAGGAAGTAATTCTTAAATGTTTTTTGTTTGTTTAAAATGGCAGATCAGGCACATTTTCTTTATTCTCAGTCCTCTCCCTCCTAAGATCCTATTAAAAGGGCAGTAAAAGGGGAAAATGGATACATGCCTAAAAAAAAGAGGATTGGGAGGGGGAGCCATAAGTAGATGAAAAGTTTCCCCAAATGTCTGGAACATAGAAAATGGATAAAATGATACAGAGTACTAAAACGAAAGGAAAAGAAAACCTTGGACTGCTTTTCTAGAGTATCTAAATAAACTGCCCAAGGAGAACCAGGACCACTAGTATGGATATTCACACTCCAGATGAAGCTCTCCTCAAGAGCCAGACATAACCACAAATGTGCTGCTGTCAACCCTTTCATGAAGGAAGAACCCCATCAGGGAGACAGACCCCCACACACTACAGTAGGAGATCCACATCAGCAACCACAGATTGTCAAGTGTATAACAAAAATTAGCAACAAATACACAAACACATGCGTGATAAAAACAGAACAACCTGGGCTGGAAGAAACCATAAAAATCAGGACACAGAAGAAAATTTTGAAGAAAATACTAATTAGTAGCTCCATAAACATCCAAGAAGAATATTCTACCTATAAAGCAAGATGCTATGAAAAACAAAAAATAATCTAAGAACAAGAAGAAGACTTTTGAAAATTAAAAACATGATCACTAAAATTAAAAACATGATTACTAAAACTAAAAATGCAGTGGAATATCTAGAAGATAAAGTTAAGTAAATATCCCAGAATTTAGAACAGAAAGACAAAGGGGTAGAATTTTGAGCAAAGAATAGGAGAAACAGAGACGAAATCTTGGAGTTACCATATCCAACTAACAGGAGATCCAGAAAGAGAGAACACAGAAAATAAAATAAACAGGTAAACAACAGAAATAAATGTCTTCAACCTGAAGAAGACACAAGTCTTCAGGTTGAAATATCCCATAAAGTAAACAACAAAAAGGCCCACACCTAAACACATCATTGTGCAATTTCAGGAGAAATGCTAAATATTTTCAAAGATAAAAACTGAACAGTTACAAAGGAACAAAAATTAGACTGTCATCAGACTTCTCAACAGCAACAGTGAATGCTAGAAAACAATGGAGCATTGATTTTTAAATTCTGTGGAAAAACTATTTTGAAACTAGAGTTTTAGCCAGATTATCAATTAAGTGAAAGTAAAGTTAAGCAAAGAAGGGCTCAGAAAATTTACCTCCCACACATCATTTCCAAGGAAGAAACTAAAGCAAGGACTCCAGTAAAATGAGGATATAAGCTATGAAGGAGAAAAACAGAAGATTCAGAAAGCAGTGGTGGTAAGTCAGGAGTTAATCAAGTCCCAGAATAATAGTTGTGCAGTTGTGCAGCGGAGAAACCAGCAGGGACTGAAGCAGAAGAATGGAGACCCCAGTAGGAATGCCTCTGGATAAGGACTGGATTCAACACAAAGGACACTATGAATTATTTTAAAGATTTGCCAACTGCATATTTTGGCAACAAGAGAAAATACTTTTGGAACTCGAGGAGAAGTAAATAAGAAAGCCAACATGTAAATATGAGGGAAACTAAAATAGGACATGACTTTAAACAACTAATAAAAAAAAAAGTCTTAAAGTTAATCCATTTGGCCATTATATTAGGAACATTCTCCCCTAAATGACACAAGGGCCATGTCAGATGCTGCCAAGGAAGTGGAATTCTAGCCCATCACTTTGCTCTTCAGGGAACCACAACTACAGGGTCATAGTCATAGACATAGCCAGCCCAGAGGACTTAACTTTAGCTGCAAAGTAGAATACAAATAATATCTACCTTGACAAAGTAACAGTAAAGCTATAGCTAACAGCTAATTAGAAATGAAAAGAGAAAAGAAAACTAGAAAGAGGAAAGGGACTCGTATTTTTGTTGTAGTAGTGTGGGAAACAAAAGTCCCAGGATCTTCACTCAGGACTGGCTGAATGTTACAAGCTTCAGTTAGTTTAATAAGAGAAACTGAAATGTGAGTTAGCCATTAAATTTGTTAGGTCAATAAGGAAATGGCCAGCAAATATTTATATACAAGCTGCAATAAATTTAAAGTTAATGCTAGAATTTATTCTGTATTTTGTCATCATAAAGGGGAACTTCTAAGTGTTTGCTAAGAGGAGCAAAGAAATTTCCAAGAATACTGAACAGCTTGTCTTTGAAGTTCAAAAACCAGTTGACTTGTAACCTAAAGGCAAAAAAGAAAAAAACTTTTTTAATAGAGAGAGAGGGTGTATGTGTGTGTGTGTGAAACTGTGTTTGTCCACTGCAAGTTGTAAATTACAGCTTTCATGAGATTTTCCTCTTTACCTGCTAGTCATCAACTTGTCATAGCTTCCCTGATATTGCTCTAAAACACAAATATAAAAGGATTATTCAGAATCCCTTAAAATCAGGGATTCCTTTAAGATAACTAAAGCATTCCTTGTAAAAATACTTTACACATGAAATAAATATGACCTTAATATATTACTCTTAAAACACAACAGAGAATATTAATTTTCCACACCAACAATAAACAGTGAAGAGATATAGCCTAGGATGGATAACAGAGACTTAAGCATATTATTTAAAGTCATAAAAACAATAAAAAAAATAACTAAAAATTAAAATATGACTATTAAAAATTGGTAAGTGGATAGAGGAACATGTAAGGAAGCTAAACCCTCTATATTTCTTACCATGGAATCAATAAATTACACGTGACTTTGATTATCAAGTTATAGATATAAGCATGTAGATGTAGGCTAAGTCACTTCAGTTGTGTCCAACTCTTTCAGACCCTCTGGACCATAACCCACCAGGCTCCTCTGTCAATGGGATTCTTCAGGCAAGAACATGGGAGCAGGTTGTCATGCCTTCCTCCAGGCGATCTTTCCAACTCAGGGATCCAACCCACATCACCTGCAGATCCCTCACTGCAGGTGGGATTCTTTACCACTGAGCCACAGGGAAGCTCAGATACAGGCATATTGCTTGGTAATGCAGTTAGCTCCTGAAGTACTAAAAATGACTAAAAATGTTGCCCCTATAGAGGGGTTCTTGCGAGGTAAGATTGGAGGAGGAGAGAGGGAGGGCTGAGAGACTATTGCTTTATGTTACAAGAACCTCTGCAC